TATAGCGATGGAAAGAAAAGACTTGAGGCAATCAAGAGTCTGGGCAAGGGAGAGACAATGCAGAAGCGTTGCTGGCGACTTTGCTGTTGAGCAGGAATACTAGGAGACTGCAAAAGGAAGTGAATAGAAATACAAAAACGGTATGCATCAAGAGTTACAGAATGTTCATTAAAAGAAAGAAGAACTACGAAAAAGTGAGTGAAGCTTTGTAAGTTTAGTTTTCATAGTTCAGGCGTGCCTATTTCAGGTCCTATTTTATTTCAAAAGGCTTTGCATTTCGCTATTATTTCAATGAAGGAGATTCCTATTTCACAGCGACTGTCGAATGACTCCGACCGATGGAAGAAACGCTACGGTATCTGTCAGTTGAGTGTTTGTGATGAAAAACTATCATCGAGTTTCGAAGAAGTGAAGGCATAAAAGAAACGTTTAAGAAATTGATTAATTAAAACCGAAAGCCTAATGGATGATCAGATATTACGCCTTATATAAAGTGTTACCTAGTAACTCTTGCAGCCAGAACCGAAGCAGCAATCACAGGCTCTAAGCATACTAAGGCAAGACGACAATTTTAGCACGCAGTAATGCTACAGCAAACCTCAAAAACCCCAAAATCCCAAAAGTCTTACAATCCCCACAGTCCCAAAATCTTACAATCTAAGATTTAAAACAGTTTCAAAAAACGCTGTTCCTGTAAAATACTGTAGCCAGAAAAAATGCATGGGTTAGCAGTGAAATTTTCAAAGATTGGTTCTTGAAAAGAATTCATTCATCAACAGAGAACTTTTTGAAAGAAAATAATTTACCCAGAAAAGCGTTTTGTTGCTAGATAATGCTCCAACGAACCTGATGAAGACAAACTTCAAGAAGCTGACGTTAAGTTAATGTTTCTACCCCATGCTCCCAATGGCTACGGAACAGGGCGTTGTGGAAGAACTGTCGCAGGAAATTACTATCCACAATGACAGAAGAAACTGAAGAAGCGCACAACATGATTGAAAAACTGAAGCGTATCAATGTGAAGTGTGTTGCTTATTGCGTTGCACGGGCCTAGACTGACATAACGGTTACAATAACTGTTAAATCATAGAAAAGACTGCTATGGGATGATCAAAAGATGGAAACGGAGAGTACTGATGAAATCGAAGAAACCATATTACCTTTCATGCACCGCATTGTGATTAAGCATCTTTGCAAGAAATCGGAAGTTGGATGAAAATGAGCTGCATGAAATAAATGATGAATAAATTGTCGCTCTTGTCGTTTGGGATGAAAACAAAATTGAAAATCAAGATCAAGCACCAACTATTGAGCCTCGCAGAATTTCACATAACGTCGGTCGGAGCTAATGCTCTCGAAACTGCAATTCAATATACTGAACAACATGAAGAAACTACAGAAATCGAAATAATGATGTTGTAAAGATAACAAAGCTTGGCAACGAAGAAACGGAACTCCACAATAAAGCAGACTACGATAAAAAAATTTCTTTCAGGTATTACAGGACTGAACTTACGGTACTCTAAGTACTGTATTTAAATTCAAAGAATTCTTTAAGTTAATTGTTTCTGTTTTGTTGTGTGTTTATTTCTTTAAAAAAATTGAAAGCTTTCAGATTTCGTATTACGTTTAGAGGGGCGCTTTTTTTTCCATTCTCTACACACATACACATTTCGAGAGCATTTGGGCTAAAAATATTTAGAAACAGCATATCTTTAGAATTTCTGGAATTTGTTTTGTATCTTTATACATGTAATAAAAATGTTCCATTAGATGTAAAAAAACTGCGTTATTATTGAAATAGGACTGCATTTTTAGATTAAATAAGATGACTTGGTGAGAGTTGGAACAGACTGGCTTGGAGAGGACTGCGACTTTGCTTCGTAGTTAGCAAGATGACATTTGAAGAACACACATAACGCCATTTTATTTTTCAACAATGCACATTATCGCTGTGGGTGCGTTAGACGAACGAAGAGAAAAAGAGCGAGTTGTGACGTAATTACCTTTTTTATATTGAATTCCATTTCAGATCACGTGACACTTCAATATAGAGGATTTGGGGTTTAGATTTCATCGGTAAGTGCGCATCAGAACTGCAGGGAGTAAAATTGATTGCTGTAAAATTTAGAATGAAACGGAAGTTAAAGGGATATTAATTTATTATTTGAAAGCTAGATTTCATATTTTACATATTAGATATTTTACACACACATATATACGTAGCGTATTCGGAAACTAAGTACCGTTTCACTCTAGCGCCGTCGCAGCGCTGTGGTAGGCGTCCCGCGCATGCGCACTAGTCTTTCTTGTTCACTGACTTTCAATTGTCGCCATTTTGGTTGCTCTATGTTGTGTTTTCAGTTTGCTGTGCACATTCAAAATGTTTAAAACAATTAGTTCTCCCGCTGACTGTGAGATTCGTGCAGTGATTAAATTTTTGAACGCGAGGAATGTTAAATCGACCGAAATTTATCGTCAAGTGACAGAAGTTTACGGTGAATACGCGATAAGTGATGGAATGGTGAGAAAGTGGGTAAGAATGGTTTAATGCAGGCGAACAAATGTCCACGCCGAGGCTCGGAGTGGTCGGCCTTCTGTTGTCACCGATGATTTGGTAAGGAAAGTTGATGAAGCAATTCATGAGAAAAGACGCTTCACAATGACAACTCTTTCAGAGGCATTTCCACAAATTTCACGTATTGTTTTGTTCGAAATTGTGTCTGACCGCTTGAATTATCGCAAACTGTGTTCCCGATGCGTTCCAAAAATGCTCACTGATGTTCACAAAACAAAGCGACTTTTTCAAAGCCCTGACATTTTTCACGCGGTACAGTGATGAGGGAGAAAACGTTTCAAACCAAATTGTGACAGGTAATGAAACTTGGGTGTGTCATTTCACACCAGAATCGAAACAACAATCGATGGAGTGGAGACACACTCATTTTCCGAAAAAACAAAAGTTCAAAGTGACAATGTCATCACAAAAAATTATGTGCACTGTCCTCTGGAATAGGAAAGGCGTTTTGCTTACTGAATTTCTTCCCAGAGGTGAAACCATTAATGCGGCACGATATTGTGAGACTTTAACAAAACTAAGGCGTGCCATTCAAAGCAAACGAATAGGAATGCTCAGTAAAGGAATTGTGTTGCTCCATGACAATGCTCGGCCCCATACTGCTGGTGTCGCTCAATCGTTAATTCGACAGTTTCATCGGGAGCAGTTCGATCACCCGCCGTACAGCCCGGACTTGGCACCGTCCGACTATCACTTGTTCCTGCACATGAAGCGCGATTTTGGTGGCAAGCGCTTTGGATCTGACGATGACACGAAAAATGCTGTGGAGTCGTGGTTATCGAAACTGACGGGAAGTTTCTTTGACGATGGTATACAAAAACTGGTCACCCGCTATGACAAGTGTTTGATCATTGGCGGAAACTATGTTGAAAAATAGTTTAAGACATGTATTTTCATGTAAAAATAAAATTGGATTCGAAAAAATTGTTTTACTATTTTTTTCACAACGGTACTTAGTTTCCGAATACGCCTCGTATATATATATATATATATAGAATTTCTTGGCGCCCTAGAAATAAAAATCCTCCCCGTACAGTGTTGCTATTGCTTGCTTTGAAATCGTTGAATTTGTTAATCAAAAGTTCGTTAAAATTTTACAAAATATGAAATAGAAAATAAAACACTCCTAATTCGGGCTTCTCAGGTGCTCATGGTCGGGACGCATATTTCACAAGTGCACATCAGCGTAGCCACTGAGTGAGGGGTTTCGAAAATGGACCAATGAGATTCTATTGAGCTAATTTGTGACACTAAATCTTCGTGCATGTGAACGCATATGTTGCTTATATTTTAATTTGCATTTGTTTCGCAGTTATAAATACATTGCGTAACAGTATAAAATCTCGTAATGCTTTCATTTTCTGAGTTTAAATAATCGCTGACATTTCACTTTGCGATTTTTCTCACGCATTAATATTTGGATTGAAATTCACGACATATTATCGCTCTTTACATCGAGAAAATGACTCAAGCTACAATTGGTCTCGAGTAGTACAGATTTACTAACATCTGTGGATTAAGAGAATTCAAATGTATATATTCATTACTGAGCTGAGAAGGACTGGAAGTGTTACAATGAATATAGTGTTTTCTTATTTCAGCGCTTGCATTCTTTTGACTTTAAAGTGTAAGATTCAGAATACATATTGTGTATGATCTGATTATATCCATTATTAACACTAAAAGTTATATGTGAATAAATTGAATATATTCGTTTGGATAAGATAAATTCACTGTTTCTTGTTTAGACAGTGCATTTAAGATTAAACAATTCATTTGTTTGATTGTGATTGATTTGATTGAAATCCTCACAATTATTTTTGATCTAATTTCGCACGCGAAAGGTCATGTTGACATGACAGAAATATAACTGGATGCCCATTGGTCCAACCTAGAAGCCACATCCTCGGAGACTACACAGATGTGCACTTGTGAAATATGGTTCGGGACTACGTTATTCAAAATTCGATGGCTTGAATTCGATGAAAATTCGATGCTCGAAGGTACCGTTGTTTTTTTTCACATTGCGAGAAACATACAGAGATTCATGCAGGTTTTTCATTATTTAATTTCTTTAAATATAAACAGGGCGGTACGATTTGGTGGCAACATTGTGTAAAGGGAAACTGACATTTATAGTGAAGCGACGCAAAATGCCGTTTTGAGACTAATGGCCTTTCTGGGCTAAAAACAGTAATTTTACTTTAGTTTTGAGAATATTTAAATTTCTATGGAATTTCACAGCATATTTTTAATGCTATTTTATCAATGTATTCGAATCACCTTTGATCGACGAAATCAACAGAACTGACTACTGTCTCCAGCTTGTAATAAAGCTTTTAATAATTTTCAACTTTTCAAACTTTTAATGCATTAACCTTTGTTTCTAATCGCCGACTCGTTTTATTGTTGTTGTTTTCAGCGTTGGTGAGGAATGGTTACGGCTGAAAACTCTGCTCATGCCTGTTCTGCTGAACGATGAAAAATTGAATTACTTACATGGAAGCGTCAACGACATCTGTGATGACTTTACAGAACTTCTGCGGTCTGTGAGATGCCGGAAAACGTTTGTGGTGAACGACTTACAAGACGTTGTATATCGCCTGGCCCTAGAAGGTAAGACATTGCTTAGTTACTGAAAATCAAAGACTAAATCAACATATAAGACTCATTCTTATATCACATGGATATGATCTTCTTGATTCCAGAAGCAGTGGCGTAACTAGAAATACTGTCGCTCCTATTGCTATTGCTAAAAAATCAATAATTACAAAAAATGCCAAAACGACATGTAGGGAAATAAATTAAAACTCTGTTTATTTTCAAAGGAATTCTTTAATTCCAACATTTTAAAATTGTATTATTTTGCTTTTTTTTTTTTCTATTTGCAAAAGCATTGTGGAGGTCTATTGAATTGTCCATTTGCTATTATGCAGACAGTAGAGAAAGATTTCTTAAATGCAAAATATACATTTGGAGTTCTTAAATATTTTTAAATTGAGAGGAAAGTTCGCAGTAATGTTATAATATTTGAAACATTTGTTATGGAGATCGTGTTTTAGAATAAATGCAAAAATTCTCAAGGATTGCTCTTCCACGTTCCCAGATAAATAATTTACCCAAAAATTCGATTTTCCTAGCAATAACGAAATTCTAATAACGATATTCTGAGATACTTTCTTAAAGGACGTTGAAGTAATCTTATTCCTCAAACAAGGCCGTTCAAGGACATTACCCTCCTCCTACAGACCGATCTCTTTCTTGCCACCCTTAAGCAAGCTGCTTCAGAGACTTATCCTAGGAAGATTGCAACATGATCTACACAAGGCTCTAGGCGAAGTGACCTTCAACTTGGCTTTAAAGAAGGATCTTCAATGGATCACGTGCTGTACAACCTTACAACAATCAGAGACAGCAATCTGGTTAGGGGTAAGTACATAGAGGTACTTTCGCTTGACATCAAAGGAGATCTAACGCCTTTTGGTGTGCAGATATACTCATCTCATTGGACTCTGTGAATTATTGTTATGGGAGTTGGATATGGTATCATTCGAATAATCACCAGCTATCTGTCACAGAGAACATTAAGAGCTACCATTCATGGAAGCATCTTCCTTCACAAAAGACACAGACTAAGGCTGTCTACAGGGATTGTACATTGGTCCGACCTCATAAAACGTAGTAGTGGACGGAGTGCTTAGTCTATTGAACAATTTCACTCGGAATATACATTCACATGCACATGTAGACACCATCTTGATAATTGCTGGGGCGAGTTCCAAAAGAAGATCAGAGAACAGAGGAAATCAAGCGTTAGACTATGCGAACTGGTGCTCCCAGCATAGGCTTACAACAAGAAAAAACGGTTGCCATAGTAACTGAAAATCCCAAAATCCTAATCAGGCCTTCAATTTTTCAAAATTAAGGAGCACTTAGTCAAGATAATCAGAATGTTAAAATAGCTAGGCATTATTTTAGATGATAAATTCAATTGGGTTCTGCATATAGAACCTGAAAAATAAAATATCTCGACAATACTGCTCTTGATGACAAGGAAAAGCTGGGGCATCTTCTTAGAACTTCTAAACAAGTGGTCTCACTAGGTGACAGTACCAACAGTCTGCTATGAAGCATCAGTTCGGTGTACGACGTTAAATTCACATGAATTCAGAAACATTCTCAGCCTACAAGGGCAGATAGCCCTCTTAATCACCCAAGTATGCAGTGCTGCGCCGACAAATGAAATACTCAATCTTGAAGACCTCAAACCACTAAATCTGGTTGATCAAGAACAGGGCACAGCCGCGAAAGTCATAAGATTAAAAGTAAATACCATCACACACGATGCCACCTACCTGAACATTGACTATGAGAAGACAGTACCATCGGCAAAAACCCATCCTGCAAGATATAACTCATAAAGACCTTATTAGTGATGTAGCAGAAGGGACAGCAGCACTTGAAATATACATTGATGGCTCAGAAACTGAGGAGCCAGTGTCTTCCGCACGAAAATGAGGAATAACTATTTTTCTATGGTCAAGTAGACTAAGAAACCTTCCTAAGGCTCTCGGTAAGAACTTAAGAATAGTTGTACCCACAGATAGCATACCTAATATTGAAGCTATAAGTTGTGACGCCTCTAAAAGTGAACTGGTATATGCTATTAGGGAACTTCTCCTTAGAAGCAATGGCCTCATCACCGTGCAACGAATCAAAACCGCGTAGGACACGAGGAAAATGAAACAGCGGACGTGTTGGTACAGGCAGCAACAATATACACGTTCTCAGTTATGCGATATATTCTCAACTGTCAAAACTAAAACAAATAACTCACAATAAATGCGGATAAAAACTGGCGAAGGCAATGGGATACAAAGACTACTTTTCCACTACTCTCGTCAACCACAGAATCGGAAAATTCGATGCTGATCCAACTGTACACTGTACACTGAAGACTGCCTTACACCTGCCTATCTTACATAAGTTCGGCCTTAAAGACTCGGACGAATGCTACTGTCTTAAAGCAGGCAATTTGAGATATTGCTTACTTAATTGCACCCTAACACAGGACATGCATCTCTCAGAACAATCTGAAAATAATCTTCAGGCCTGAAGAACTCGACTAGTGAAAAATAAAAAAGGTCTAAAAAGAGCTGCCAAGGTAAATGCATTTATTAATGCTGATAATTTAAGGGCTTTCGTACAGAATATTACTCCTAACTCAAAACTCTATATTGCGAAGTAGATTGTTCTGTCTCACGTAACGTTTAGTCTGTATTGCGTATATTTTCCTCACGTTGTCTGCAAATAGTATGCAAATATTACTGTAAATTATTATTTAGATACTTGCATATATTCTCTAAAAATTTCCCATAATATCTGGCAAAGTATGTGATTCTATAAACTTGATGTAAATAGTCCTATAATTTATACATTGCAGCTTTTAAGCTTAGGATAGCTTGTTCACTCTTAGCAATATAGGATTCAAATGTACTTTCTTCAAGGGCCTTGTATACCCATGTAATATCCCTCCAGGCCTTCACTTGCACAGATAGTGTTTTTTCCCTCCAGAGGACATGCAATAATAGCTTCAGCATAACAGCAGGCCTGTTTTCCTCATGGGGGTGTAGAGTATCGTAACAATAAATTATATGAAGTGGTTTATATTAAAATTTTAAAAAATTTAACCAGTTAACATAAAAGTTTGTCTTCATCAGAACTGCAGTTAACACAAACGATTCTTCTCACACATTTAGCCTGTGTTCCATCTTTCAAACTAATCATTGCACCCATTCTTCTTCATCAGAGTTTCTAAACATATCCGCAAGATAACAAAAAAGAATTTGCTGTTACAAGAATCTGTATCTGGGTTCCAAAAACCTGTTCTTCACTGAGCTTATCTCTTTGTTTTCTTTTTGAATTATTCTCCCTTTCCTTTATCTTCCTTTTTTCATTTCTTATTATCTCTTCATATTCTTTTATAATGCTTTTTTTTTTTAACGGGTGTGTCAGTTTCGATGACAGTATTTCTTTTGAGTGGGTCCCTGTTTTCACTCTCAAAGCGATCTTTGAGGGTGAAAATCTATTTTTCCATTTTGGAAAAGAAAACTAGACGGGACAAACAAAAAAAAAAAAAAAAAAAAAAAAAAAAAAAAAATCTGAAAGGTTTCAGATTTTAAATTACGCCCAAAGGGACTTTTTTTAACGTTTTGTGTGTTACCTTTATTTATTAAATATCATGTTCTTTGCACTTAAACCCTAAAATTCAGTTCAATAGCAATGTCGCAAAATAATTTTAAAGCACATCTTTAGAATTTCGGATACACAGTTCCGCGCGCTGGAGATAAAAAGGTTCCCCCCTCGTAGTCTTGCCAGTGCTCGCTTTGAAATCCTTGAGTTTGTTAATAAAAAATTTGTTAAAGTTTTACAACGTTTAAAGTTAACAATTTATTAAAGCTTTAAAAAGTTTTACAAAATATGAAATCGTAATAAAACAAATTCCAAATTTCAAATTTGGGCCTTTCAGATGCCCATATTCGCAGTACAATTACGTCATTCAAATTTGGATGACTCGTTGTTTTATCACACTGCCAGAAACATGCATACATTTATGCAGATTCTTCATTATTTAATTTCTTCAAATATAATGCAGTACTCTAACATTTGGTGGCAACAATTTGAAAAGTGCTACGCCGTTTTTAGTGATTCGACGCAAAATCGCAAAGCGAAACAATAGTCCTTCAGGAACAAAGCCCCTTTGGGCTAATAAAGTAATTTGCATGTTAATATTTTAAGAAGAAATCCTAACTACATGAATCAAAATCTCGGGGACATCATATTGTTACAGACATTTCTGTTGATTTATAAAAAATATTGCGATTAGTAGAAAGTCACAGCAGTATTTAAAAACTTAATACATAAACAAAATAAACAGGTAAACTATTTTTAAAAAAGATCAGATAGCTTACATTAAACCAATTTTACGAAATATATCCCCCCCCCATAATCTAGCTGAAACGGAGCACGAGCACGCAATCTCTAACATATTTATCATATCAAATCATACTTAATCATAAATATGCTAATCAAACCAATGGTGCTAAAATAATTTATCGTTGTAAAATCATTAACGTATATTAAAACTGGAAAAGAATAATAATCAATGAATTTATTAACTACGCGTAATACTGATTGTAATTAAATGTTAATATATTTTTAATTATATTTATTTCCATTTCTTTCGATCGATGTAAGAATGTGAATCTTTCTTTAGCCCCAGAGGTGCTGTATATCTCGAAACTCACTTTTTGTCCGTATCATCTTTCTGCCCGAGCCACTTTTCAAACTGTTACGATCAAATGTAGCGCCATGCACTATTGAAAAAAATTAAATAATGCAATATCGTGTTTCAAGACAAAGCTCTTCTGGCCTAAAAATCTGAAAGGATTCAGATTTGTCCAAAAGAGCTCTTTTAAAGTTCAGTGTGGTTTATCAGTGGGGATTCACAAAGTTTGGTCACCAAGTTTCGCGACTTTTGGAGATTTCTTGCCAAATTTGGTGAGAGAAATTAGCCGCCAAAAACCATTGCCAGCCTTGGCTATGTTAAAGGGACTTGCTGCTGTAACCGTATTTTTCCAGCGAAACGTGAGCTTCTCATGTTACATTATACAAAGAAACTGCAATTTTACAGTAAAATGTAAGATATTTAACTTTCAAATTTGATCTTTTTTTACTCTGAGTAACAAATTAAGCGATTGAAAAGCAATAATCGCAGTTATTAAAAACATTTTTTTTAATAAAAATGCATTTAAATCAGCGGTTCTCAACCTTTTGGCTAACGCGTACCATCTAAATAAAAATTAAAAACCTTTAGTACCACCACTATAAAATACAACTACCACCACCACTCTTGAACACAGCTCAGATCGCATAAATTTACGAGTATTAAAGAAAAACCTTAATCATGATTATGGGGTTTAAATTTTTGAATTTAGTGATTAAAAATACTTTACTTCTTTGCGTACCACCTGTTTATCTCTTGCGTACCACCAGTTGAGAACCCCTGATTTAAATCATGAGAGATGTCTAATTATAAATATTAAATATTTTTATGAAATGACACTAGGTTGGCTCATTAAAATTGCTGTATAGTGTTACAAATTTTGTACATAGGTAAATAATTTTAGTGAAATTATATGCGAAATTGTAGTATGCAAATTTCAAGAAGCGAAGCTTTGCCGAAAAAGTAAGAATACAGAGCAAGTCTATTTAACATAGAGTAAATGCATGTCTTGCTAAATTGACAAGATATCTCTAAGTTGGCGACGTTTTTGGAGCCAAATTATTAGTCACAAAAAAGTCGTCAAATTTGGCGAGAAATCGCCAAAAGAATTAGCGTCAAATTTGCCAAACTTGGCTACATTTTGCTTCAGTCCATATATAACTGTAATTGATATTGTGATTAAGTAAATGCAATTAATCTAGATATGCAGCTGTAACTATATCCAGCCCTTAGATGTAACTTTAATCGTAAATGCCTTCCTATAATAAAGGGAATTTACTCGAGATTTCTCGGCGGCCGGCTGAGAACTCTAAGAATGGCGAGAGCATCTGGTTTCAGTTGTTTGTTCAAAGCCGAGTTCGAAGCACTGAAATATCTCCGTGTGAGCTTCGCTCTTTAGATGCGCTTTAAATTACATTGTGTTCACCATTCTTAGTACTTTGAAGCGTAATTGTAGTCTATAGATAGTAGATGACTGTAGTCTGCGATCCTGTGAAGCGTTACTTGTATTTTTGAGGAAATTTCCAAAAGCTGTAAAGTGTTCTTTTTTCAGGAGGGAGGTAAAATAAATGTTATAAAGCTATCATCAATTCTGTGTCCATTCAATCTATTACGAACGCAACAACACTTTTTTTTCCTTTTTCATGGTAACTCTTTCAGCTACTCGAAAGGCTAGTTGTCCAAGAAATAATATGGTAAGTGTAAAAAAAAATATCGAAACCTCTAACACTCTATCAGAAATTCTAAAGATAGGCTGTTTTTAAATACTTTTTGATTTTTCTCTTGAATTTATGTGGCGTAAAGTGCGAAGAAGCGATGCTTAATAATAAAGCTGAAAAGACAAAAAGAAATGTTGTTAGCAGGAGCGATTCCAAAAGCAGACTGGTAACCTGCGACGTGCAGCATAAGACCTTAACACAAACCCTCTGGTGCGACATTAAAATCTGAATGCTTTCAGAATTTATTTATTTTTATTTTGTAGAGACATTAGGATTTTCAGAAGTCGGAGAGATGAAACATTAGCAATCGCCTTCGCCGGGAATCGAATCACGGACCTCTGAAATACCGGCCCAGCGTGCAGAACCACTACACCACGAAGGCACGCTAGGAAAGAGGGAGAAATACCTTATATATACTCCCCCTTTTAAAGGGCGACTGGGGTTTTTAGGAAACCCAATCGCCAAATCCTGGGTGTGGAGAGTCATCATCCATAACCCTTTTAGTTCGGGCGCCACTGTAGAGACATTAGGATTTTTTGGAAGCTTGAAAGATGAAAAAATTAACAACCGTCTTCGCCAGGAATGGAACCACGGACCTCTGGAATACCGGACCCAGCGTGCCGAACCACTACACCACGAAGGCACGCTAGGAAAGCGGGAGGCGGGAGAAATACCTTATAATTTATTTATTTTTATTTTTTATTATTTATTTTCTGCATGTGTGCATCATTTAAATTTTACAAATTTTCGTGAAATATTGATTTTTTTTTTTTTTAACTGGATCAGATATAGCGAACGAAACTTTCGATCTTTTGGAGTTTGCTATAGCAAGGGTTGACGCAATAGTACGAAAGCAATCACTACGTAGATAAATCTTCAAGAAGGGAGAAACTACTGGAATTTTTTTAATTTTCAGAATTAAGGGGGGGGAATACGGCATTCATTAATGCAATAAACATTTCTTAACATTTGGTTCTTGCATTTTATTGCGAACTCTCAACTGTTTATCACATTTATGCATTTCTGCCTTTCAGCTATCTACATGATGAGTTTGGACTGTCGCCTGGACTGCCTGAAAGTGGATTTGCGACCTGACACACCGGCTTTTGCCATGATTTATTCGGTGAAACTTTTATTTGAAGCATTCCAGGAACTTTATTACGGGCTACCTCTTTGGAAATTTTTTAAAACCCCTTCCTATAAGAAATTGGACAAAGCCGAAAGTATCATGTATGAGTGAGTATGAAAGGAATCTGTTCTCGCGTTATTATTACGCATTTATTACGATTAATTGTATCAAAATAATATTTCCTTAAATTGTGGTTCACGGTATTGCACGACAGGAAATAAATCTTCCACAGCAATTTTATACAGCCTTTGCTTCCTACAATGGCGTCGTAAATCAAATCGATATAAAACGTCGCTATAAATGCACGTTGACCATATTTTCGGAGATAAAATCCAGGATACTGCATATAAAATTAATTTCAGTTAACAAATTAAATAATTAAGTTGAAAAGCCTAATATTATTTCGTTCATTTCAAAGAAATGTTGGCATAAAGAAATAAATGGAAATTTTCAACAAAATGCTGAAAGGTGTCGCATCAAAAGTAATGTCTCTTTTTCGACAGAATTTGTTAAAACGTGTTCAAGATTCATTCCTATAAATTCTGGCTTGCAGGCACGCGGTACTAATCTGTTGAATGCGGTATATACTGTCAAAAATAGGAAAGAAATGTACAGTAAAGGTGTTTTGAATATTCGCGAGTACAACTAATGGTTCAGTAAATTTGGCGACTTTCTGGAAGTTTCAGGAAAACGCACATTCAAAGCTTTAGACGCGATTTTTTCCGAAGAGACTATTGAAACTACAACGATAATAACTTTTTTTACCGCCTTGTTGATATCCTGGTAAAGAAGCCATCTACTATGCGCCTGGGACCAGGGTTCGAATCCCCGCAGAAGGGATCAGTGTTTATAAGTGAATAGCATCTTTGAGGCATTAAAGCACTTTAAATCTGTTAACGCAGAAAGTTCTCTCGAGAGATTGCGGTAGGAAGAGAGAGGGAGAAAAAATTTCAGATCCATCTTCCATGGTGTTCTTAATCAAAATTGGGAAGGCACTTTCCCCAATTCGACGACGTAATTCGGTCTCCTCCTCCCGTCGTGCCTCTTGGGCAGCGATGCCCTCGATGACAAGACGGGTGAGTTTGATAGATACCTGTTTTTGAAACACGCTGTATATTCCAAGTCGCGCTTTCGAGACATGAAAAAACGCAAGCTAAATTTCGTCAATCGGCCTATTAGAGCGGGAGATATAGAACAGCCCCCCCTTTTTGTGCAAGGTGTACATTATTGAAATGTATTCGTGGTCGAGTAAAATTGCCTCGGGGGTCACCAGTTTGTGACCACTAGTTTAATGTATAAATTTTGTCCTTTCTCATTTTTTACTTGATGCAAATTCTAGTAATTTATTATAATTTCTCCAGTCTAAATTGTGCTGATTACATACAAAATTTTTCCATTGTCCTGTTTGCAGTGCAGCCAGCAGACGCATCGAAGAGGCAATCGAAAGAATCCGGCACGAAGACGGCGAGAAAAGGGACAGAGAATTAAGCGTGCTGCAGACTCTTATAGAGTGCAAAGACATATCAGATAAAGAAATCAAAGCTTCAGTCATCGATTTCATCTCGGGAGGTATATTCACTGTAAGTAAAATAATTTTTAAAAAATTGAATATGGACACAACATAACTTCCTTATACGGCCTATTAAATCATACACATATTTTGCTGCATTTCATTTAAATTTATTTCATTCGAGATACATTTCTCATTCAATTAATTCAGTTTTCACTTCGCGGCAAGGCAAAAAATACGTAATAAATCAATATCTTCAACTGTGAAATACAGTAAAACATAAAACACCTAATACAGTTAAAAAATATTATTAGAGAGTTTCTACCTAAACACGAACAATTTGGCCAGCAGGCAGGAAGACAGATTTTTCGGTGCACGATATTGGAGTTAACTTTTCGCCCTACTGGGAAAAAAAGATCTTGAAGTTGATGTACCAACTGCCTTAATTCACTACTCGACAAAGAATTTCCAGTGTAATCAAATGGCGGGCTGTTAGGCTTAGTACCACTAGAACATTTAAATTGTTGATAGTTCTACAACTATTGCGTGTGGATTAGCTAAAGGCATAAAACCCTTAACTGGAACATAAGAACAACATAATTCAATGACTTTTAAAGCAAAAAATGCACAATTTACCAACACAAACATGGGTTCACCGAGCTGGGTTTGGTGCGGCCGATCGCAACCAAAAAGGGAAGTGAGCAAATACAAGTAATAGCAGCCCCATATACAAAATTTGAACGTACTGAGGCTACTCGTTTTTGAGTTATGCGAAACACATACATACGTACGTGTACGTACAAACGTCACGGGGAAAAAAATATCCTCTAAATTCAGTGTAAATCCGTTTTACAATCCGTTTTGGAAAATGAGTCCTTTATTCTATCTACACGTACAAACACTCAAAAAAAAAAAAAAAAAAAAAAAAAAAAAAAAAATCGTTCAAATGGATTCGAAAGCGATCATAATGAATAGTTTCGTTTAAATATGATACCTGAAATTTTTTGTGATTACAATACTTCCTTTAAGTTGTAATGTTGCGCGCTTCCAACCTGCACGCAACAATAGTGGTGACTGCTATGAACTGGAAAGTATACTGCTATGAACTGGAAGTGACTGCTATGAAACCGGAAAGTCTTGAGAAGAGATTTAATCCCTTTTTATTCAACTTTAGAAATTACAGGTGCGTGCTCTTGACGCTCACAAACTACGCCGACCCGGCGGTAAAATAAAAATAAGAAACTAAAAAAAGAATAATAACAAGTGACTAACTACGAGGCTCTCTAAAACGTAACTAACCTGATCGCGTTCTAAGATACCGCTGACAATTCAGCAAACTTCTGAATATTACGTTGAAAGATTTAACTATCTACCGAGGCAAGCACACAGGCCGAAACGCGTGGTTCTTCAATTTCTAACTAGCCACCTCCACGCTCGTGAAGCAAGAAAGCACACTTTCGAACTTGTTTCCCTTCTATTTAACTCAGAATACTTCCGCTGACTATTTTGAATACTTTGTGTGTTCTACTAAAATTTACATACTTTGGCATTGGCAATTCCAGGGGAAAGTAAGGCTTGACAGGAAAGATAGTTTAAACTTAAAATATAAATGTTAGTTAAAATAAATATAAACCCTACAAAGTCATACAGTGAAGTAAAAATGACGTTGCAGAGTCAAGTCTGTTAGAAATAGGGCATGCTTTTGAAACTCTTTTACCCGGCTCCGTGAATTGAGTATTTTTTTATTCTTATGTGCTGGTAAATTGTGCATTTTTTGCTTTAAAAGGGATTGAATTACATTGTTTTTATTTTCCGGTTATGGTTTTTATGCCTCTAATTAATCCGCATGCAAGAGTTGTAGAATTACCAAGAATTTAATTGTGAATTTAAGTGGCGCTAGGCCTAACGAGGTCGCAATTTGTTTACATTAGAAACTCTTAGTAGAATACTGAATTAAGTCAGTTTTTGTACCAACTTCAGTGTCTTTATGCCCGGTGGGATCGAAGGTTAACTTTCAATTTTGTGCACCAAAAACTTTGCCTTCATGTCCTTTTGCCGAAGTGCTTCTTTTTTGTCGAAACTCCAATTGTAATTATAAAAATTGCTTTTTTAACTGTTTTTAATTGTATTTCGTGTTCAAAACTGACTATGAAAGTAGTCCATTCTAAAAAAACTAAACTGCAGAAAGAGAAGTTAAAAGAGAGGAGAACCTTAAACAGTTTAATGTTAAAAGAGCTGCAGAAACTGACAGTAGATGCAATATACAAGGTGGTTAAAATTAAAACACCCGTACTCTGAGTTCTCTATACAGCGAACTACTGAGTGTTAAGGGCTTCAAAATTGTTGAACATACTATTCAAGACATGGGGAACCGGATTACGTAAAAGAAAATTAGTTTCAGAAACACCGATAGTTGGCGCTGTACAACAGAACATACGCTGAAAAGACACAAAATACACTTTATAACACATTTTATTCGAGCGTACCAAACATTCATATCACAAATATGAATTCACTTATCGATGCAAGGGAAGCTGCTGAATATGGTTTCCTTCTTCAAGATGTAAAATCTGCAGTCCGTGGACAGCTTATTCAACTGCGGATCGTAATTGGTCCGTTGAGATGCTTCCCACATGCAGAGTGATACTCTCTTTCAAATCTGCCAAAGTTACCAAACGTTGTCGATAAACTAGATTTTTTAAATAACCCCTCAGCGTAAAATCACGTGGATTAAGATCTGGAGAACGAGATGGCCAGAGAGTGAAACTGCAGTTACAATGACAGTTTAAGTTTCTTAACTTTTTGTGTTCTTCCTTTTTCATATCAGTAATACAAATTGAAAAGGAATATATCTATACCTCGTGGTGGTTCTTTTTTTTTTTTTTTTTTTTTTTTTTTTTTTTTTTTTTTTTTTTTTTGTGTGTGTGTGTGTGTTTGTGTGATTATTTGTGCTTTTTTAAGTATATTTTCCATTGCACAGCGCCACCTATTGGTGTTTCTGAAACTTATTTTTTTTCACGTAATCCGTTTCCCATGTTTTGAATAGTATGTTTAACAATTTTGGGGCCTTTACACTCAATAGAGTAGGGGTGTTTTAATTTTAACCACCTTAATAAAAATGATAACATAACGTTATCAATTAAAACGCACTGCATATTCTAAGAAAAATTCTTGAAATGAAAGGTACTGATCAAAAAAGTTACCAGCAATTTTACGAAATTGCGAAACAACTGAATAACTAGTGCACAATTAAACAAACAAGAGGTAGACTAGTTCTCTGTAGGAAATTAAAAGATTTTCTAAAAGAAATTTTAAAATGAATTTCAAAGTTGCGTAAATATCTTATTTTGCTGTTAATTTTTTATTATTATTTAAGGATTAATATCTGAAGCAGTTGTTATTTATTATTTACTTTAAATTACAATTGAGATCATGATTTGTAAAACACTAGTCTTCCTCTATTGAACTCAGCACATTATTAAATTGAAATGCGTTTGAACGGAAGTGATTTTAATAAGCGGCGAGTGTATTTATATAATTCTATTTAATATTTATATCAAATGAGTTCTAAATAATTTTCAGAAACATTAGGCGTAATTCATAAATGAACTTTTGGTTAATCCACTTTAAATGCGAAGAAACTCCAGTTGTAATGATTTCTTTCCTGGTTAAAAATGCTGTGAAAATATGTATTTATATAATTCTATTTAATATTTTCATTAATCTGATTAAATTCTATTGCTGATTTAAATCATCCTTCTTTTTAACATTACCATTCAATTAATATCAAAATAATCACGATCCCATTAAACGACGCTTGTTGTAGTATGATAATGAATTATAATTTAATAAATAAATTATTAATTGCTTAAAAATTTGTAGATTACTGCTATTATTTTTTTTCTTCCAGGTCACAAACGCTTTCACTTTCTTACTCTACCACCTGTCTCGAAATCAAGATGTCCAAGAAAAGCTGTACAGAGAAGTCTCCGACATTGCCAAAGATTCAGTCATTACCAAAGAAACGCTCGACAAGTTACGTTATTTGAAAGCATGTGTCAAAGAATCGTTCAGGTATACATCACCTAATTCTCATACGGTCCAACTACATTATAGCGAACTCAGATATAATGAACTTTGTAACACTTCAAACACAGTAATATATGTCTGTTAGGGTATTGGAATATTTAAAAGACATTATGAACAGGCCATAAAAAAAATTTTGCGTTTTCCGGATTAAAACTGGGTGAAGCTATTTATTTATTACCTCATTGTTATTCTGAAGGATACTTTTTCTCAACGCTGTACACACATCGTTATACAGAGAACATTGTAACAAACATTGCTATCAAAATACCCGTGAACAAACGGGATCACATTAAGTGGCACCTACTGTATAATTTTCATTATTGGTATTTATTATAACGATAATCTGTATATTCTAATGATTATAATTATCAGTATATCATTTTCAGGTTGACTCCTACGATACCAACAATAACAAGGATACTATCCGAAGATATTATATTATCAGGGTATCACATACCAGCAGGGGTAAGTTATATTCTTAAATTATTCTTTGACAATTATCCTTGTTCTTTTAAAGATAATTTTTTTACGAGTTTCTATTTACTATCACTCTTTTCGTCTTCTGGATACAAAACAAAGGCATGAAGATTCAAGCATAGAGATTGAAATTTTACAAAATGAAAAGGACTGTTGCAAATGAACGATAATATGTTTTTGAAGCATTTACGTATATAAATATCTGATGTGGTTACCGCATGACTTCTTTTACAGCCTATTAAATTATACACACTTTTCCTGCGTTTTTCTTACCAACGACAAGCAAATCTTGCACTCCTTGTTAACTATGAATTTCGTGGACTTGTTCAGATGTTACCGTCAGACAAGTGCAATAAGTCGCAATACATCTTCATTAAAATTTGTAAAATACAGAAACATCTAAAAACAACAACAGTTTAAAAAAAAATTATGATTAGAGTTTGTATACAAAAACAGGCAATTTGGCCAACGGGCAGGAACACAAAATTTTCGGTCCACAGAACTGAAAGTTAATTTTCGATGCCACTTTGCAAAAAGACAATGAAGTTGGCGCACCAATTAACTTAATTCACTATTCTATTAAGAGTTTCAAATATAAACAAATGGCGACCGCGTTGGGCCTAGCGCCAATTAAACTTTTAAATTGTTGAAAATCCTTACTATGTTTCGGGTAAGTTTTTTGGTTAAGGTTCAAGCCCAACATAATTCAATCACTTTGAAAGCAAAATATGCACAATTTACCAACATAAAAGAATAAAAATACTGAGCACACCGAGCCTGTAAACCCTTTCTGGCACGCTACCTTTTAAAGTCGGAGTTTTGATTTAAAAAAAAAAAGAAAGAAAGAAAGAAAGAAAGGTAGGCAGTCTAATTAGGCCTAGAGGAGAACACAAGTAAAGTTTTGTGAAGGTAGCACTTATCGTTTTAATTCTGTGGGTATGCCCAAACTAGGCACACTGATTGAATAGAGCTTTGAAAACAGTGCTGAAACGAGCATTGTTGTCAATGAGCTGACCGATGAGATGTGGAGAAACAAAGAATACAGACTCTCAGTTGTCCTAGATTATCGGTGAGCCCGGTCTGGGCACACCTAGGGTTCGCCGTTTGATTTTAGGCAAGATTTCAAGTTAAAAATGTAAAACTACAAATACATACAGACAAAAAAATGTCTACATAAAGACAAAAAAAATAACATAGAAATTTCTTTTCAAACAATTCCTTTTATACCTTAAAAAAAATCTGGAAAATTTCTTTGAAAAATGACGGTCTTAAAAATCTAAACATGACTAAAATATATGGACTGGTTTGTGTTGAACTGCCATCTACTATAAATAAAGAAGGTTTAGAGTAACCTATAAATCCTTTTTCATTCAATTTTTCTGTGAGTACAGAAGGAAATTTTTAGGTGTGTCCAGACCGGACTCACTGCGCTGCAAAGGGTTAACAGGGTGGGAATATACATATATATTGATTATATATCTCCTTTTATACATATACATATATGTAATATTTTAGCAGTCGGGCACGAGTGAAGCTTGGCAATCCAATGATGACACAGAAGGAATTAAATTTATAGTCCATATCTTTATTCAATTCAAAAGAGCAGATCAATACTCGTTACTAATAAGATTACTTTATATTCACTGTATTAGAACGAAGGAAGGCAGATGAGAGCAGCAGCATAGATCCGATTCAAGCGTATCTTGAACAGCAGAGGTAGAAAAGAGCTTCTGACGCAAAATGGCGCGAGTTCTCTATTTATAGAAGCAGTACGTAATATGCTCGAATGTTCTGGAAAGTACTGGTCTAGGGAAAAGATCCTAAATTGCAGAAAGTTAATAGGTTGCTTGTTCACATACAGCAAAGCCACCGTGTTGTATATATGCGTGTGTGTGTGTGTGTTTGGTGCGGCTGATTGCAACGCAACAAAAAAAAAAAAAAAGGAGACGCACATCTGCATATTATAGCAGTCCCATATATAAAATTTGAACTTTCTATGGTTAATCGCTTTTGAGTTATGCGAGATACATACGTGTATGTCAAGATAAGAATCTCTTCCAAATCAATTTTGCAGTCCATTTTGGGAAAAATAGGCCTTTATTCAGGCCGTACGTCCAGCTATCATGCAAAAACATCATTCTGATGTATTCGAGAGCGTTCAAAATGGCTATTGTCGTTGAAATATGATACACAAAATTTTTCACGATTACAATGCTTCTTTTATTTTGTACAAGGAAGTAGTAATTGGATAAAGTGCCTACTTAAGCTAATATAAATATTGATATTACTACTTAATAAGCAGTAATATAAATTAATATTTGTTTCATTTTTCTCTCTTAATTATAACGATATATAAGGCTTGTATAAATTATGCATAGCTTTCTTAATTTGAACTATACCTAAGCCTTTTTTTCCGTGAAAAATTAACTTTGGACCGGATTTTACCACAGGCGCATATGACGTAACCCCCCCCCCCCGCGTTTGGCAAGGGTTTGCTTTAATTTTCTTGTTAGTTGCACTATTTTTCTTGCAACGCATGACTATTACAATGTTAATGTCCAGAATTATATTTATATGCATGAAATCACCTATTTTCTCAGAAACTGTGAACTTTAATTTTGCGAATTTGAGTGGAATTTTTGGGAATTTTCGTATTATAAAAACGTTTAAACATATGTTTATTATTTTTTTAATTTAATTACTGATTTTGGGGTACCTTGAACTGTTTATTCAGTATGGCATTTTATGGTACATAGGACCATGTAATTACGGGGCATTCTAACATAGCATTATACTATAGCACACTACAGTATGTAACTACAAGATATTGCAATGTGGTATTCATTGCGGTATTCTACGCCATACTGCAGTATGTAACTATAAGACGTTGCGGCATTTTATTCATTATAATCAGGGCTTGCCGACGCGGCCGGTATTAACCGCCTGGGAGTTAAATTTTAAAGGGGGTTAATGATGATCATCTGATCGATTGGAAGTCGATAGCCGAATATGCACCAGGGAGTTTATTGGCATAATCAAGATCTTTTTGATTGCATAAAAATTTATCAATGAAATTGATAATTAATTGATTAAGATGTAGAAACTGGGGCTGTAACTAAGTGCAACTTGTGGCAAATCCTTAAGTAGACCTGTAAACGTTTTATCGCTATGTCTAAGATGAAGCAGAACTTAAGGAGGGTGTAATAAACGCTTTTATTCAAAACTCAGTTAACAGAAGGTGCTATTGCTTACAAACCAGCCAGCATTTATGTCAAAATTCAAAAGATAAATTCAAATTTAAAATTAAGTAAAATCTTAAGTTAGCCCAAGGCTACACAGGAATAAATAACGCGCAAGTTGACTCAAGCCTATACCACGTGACAAGCACTATTGGCAAGAATAAAAGTAAGACCAAAGATAGACTGCTTCTGAAGAACTGCAAATACTAACGTGGCGTTCAGCAGGTGGAATGCGCTTTGATTAAACAATATAAAAACCTTCCTTTAAATACTCTCCCTTTCTACCTCATTTGACGTAAAAATTATCATTCTAGCAGGAAAATGTAAAGAGAAAATGACATTAACGATACTGAAAATAAAACAACTGGTTAGATTAAAAAAAATATATATATCCTTACAATCTACATAAAGATATATTATGTAGTAATGAAGATATTTATGAGTATTATATACTTATAAGAATATATTTATGAGAAAAATACACAAAAAGTGTTTAAAGTATTCTTAAATTCATATATTTTTAATTGCATAAATATTTTATGCAATAAATAAATAAAACACAGGAACACAAAAAATCAAATCCTCCCAGGCAGACGCCAGACCCAGACTCTGCCATCTGAACGGTAGAGGGTGAACCTTGACTCGTCACTCCAGAAAGTCCAATCCACTGATTTACGGTCTTCTGTCGATATGCTTCGCACTACATTAACCGAGCAGCGCGGTTGGACTTTGTGATCAAAGGCTTATGGACGGCAGTACGACCATGAACACCAAGCAGATGTGCTTCCTTACGGATGGCATTTATCGAAACAACACTCCCGGATGCTTGTCAGAACTCTTTGAGTATGTGAGCCATCTCGGATGGGTGCGGTTCTTCCATATTTTTCTGGACAGCACCCGTCGATCTCTATCTCCCAGTTTCACGGGTCTTCCGATTTGCGGCATATTCCAACAATTACCGCTCACCTTCCACTTCTGAATCACATAGGTTTGCATGGGTGTCAAAGTACGTATTAGTAGATAATGTATGTAAGCTACTTGAAAAAATTAAGAAATTTCAATGTCCGCCTCCAAGACATTGAAAATTTGAATGTGCCACCATGGCCAATGTCGATTTGGGGTAATTAAGCTCGCTAGATATGCACCTTGAGGATCGGCTATCTCTGTGATACCGACGATTACACCTTTCTCGAAATCAGGTAACTCTGAACTTCGTGGCATCTTCCATGCGACTGTTGCCAATGTTATTTAATACACGATATTTAACGGCGGAATGCACGATGTATATCAGGACAGCAGATATTTCCGTGGGTGTTCAAATACTTATTAGAAGATAATGTATATATTCCACTTGTAAAATTTAAGAGATTTCAATGTCCACCTCCAAGATATTGGACATTTGAATATGTCACCATGGGTCATAGAACCACCGAACCGAGATCGTGAAATTAGGGTGCATAAACAGTTGATCTCGCTGAAGGAGAATGTTCCAGCACAAGTTTTGTTCAAAATACAATATGCATGCTGAGCTTTGGAGTTCAAAAGCTATCTGAGAGAAATAACCCAAAATAAAACTTGTTACTGAACAACATTTATTAATTTTTTCCTCTTACCCAGTGGAGGCAGGCTTTAGTCAAGTCAACCATTTACTCTGGAAAACAAGAAACAGTTTGAATGTTTTCGAACGAAATGATTTAAGAATTAGGTTAGGCAATTTTATGCCAAATATTACAAACATTCCATCAACACATATGAAGCGCAGCCATCACATTCATTAAGATCGAACTTTGAGCTATTATAATATGTAATTTTTTTTTCTGAAACCATGTTGATATCTGTAAAAGTAAATATAACAATAGCAAGAAAAAAAATCTGGTGTGGATACGACGACTTCCTTATACGCCCTATTAAATTATGCAGATGTTTCCTGCGCTTCATATAAACTTTTTTCCTCAAATTATTCTAACTTAATTAATCGATCTCTCCAGTGACAAAGTATATAACAAGCTGAGAAATGTAAAACCCACCATTGGATACTGGCCATGTATGGCTAATAGAAAGGAAGATGTCCTCTTGATTCGACTGAGAATTGGCCATTGTCGCCTGACCCATGAGTATCTTCTGAAGGGAGAAGAGAATCCCAGCTGCCCAAACTGCAATGCAGATCTGACAGTCCATCATATCTTGGTGGAATGCCAGAGTTTTAATTATTTTCGCCAAAAACATTTTAATTGTTCAGAACTGGACTTGGGAAATTTAATTGGAAAAACACATCATCGTAATTTGTTTCTGTTTTTAAAAGATATTTGCTTTTATAATAGACTTTAACCTGCTTTTTAAAAGATATCAGCTTTTATCATAAATTGTAATCTGTCTCTTTTTACCTAAGCTGGAAGTTTTTACAATTGACTAATTGCATTGTTACCATTTGTCTGGCGCAGATAACCTTGATAGGTTTTGTGCCAAATTACAGTAATCCAATCCAATCCGATCTCTCCAGGCAAGTTGAAAACGACATTTAAAATTGCAAATTTTGATATTAAATATCCCAGTCAGTTTCGTTGTCCCAGTCAATTTCGTTGCCTTTTTGGAGACGAATTTTTAAACATTAATGTTGCACATGTAAACACATGCGGTGTTTGTGTTAGATTTCAAACGGCGTCTAGTTTTTCCTATATATACTTTCATTTATTTTATCTATGTTTAACTGCCACTAATAATTATAGTTTTCTTTCTTGCAAAAACAACTTCTAGAATGAGCTAAATATGTGTGTGTTTTCTTTCTGAGAAAATGACAAGAAAAACAACTTTTACGATGGGCTTATTAAAAATACTTGTTATTTACGACAGAGATGTTTTATTTAAAATCCAAACTACTTTCAAACATAAATGATACTTTATAATATGTTTATTAGTGCTCTGGCAGCGTAGTAGTTTATTTTGTGGAAGGACGCGTACGTGAATCGTTTGAACTCGATGATACAGTTTCAGTTGTGTCGTAAATACTGGTCTTTAACGTCATTTTTAATTAAATTTCTTCAGTTCTAATTATGTTTATACTTCTATTATTTATACAGTATGATTTACATAGTTAATGAGTCGTTCTTAATGACATTCATTTTTACTCAAGAGAAACATAATTAGAACATAAATACAATCTCACAGGAAAAAAAAAAAAAAAATTACCAAAGCTTATCGCTCTCGATAACATCAACTCGCACACCATGAATTCAAACATAACTGTTATATCTTTAGAATTCCATCGCGTGATTCAACTTTTACAATGTTTCAAAGAAATTCAACATCAATATAATTGGAGAGCTAATGTTTAATCCCTTACATTTTTACAGCTTTTAAGTCAAAAATGAAATCTTAATTCAAATTGAGTTAATTTATTTACTATTTATATTATTTTATAAATGTAAAATGTTTAAATTAATACCTATTAATAATTATTAGCATTAATAATTATCAGAGATTATTCTGATTTTCTTATTAACGGACCTCTGAATGCAAATTCGGAATGGCACATGACAAATTTTCAAATTCAATATTTTGATCAATTTTTTTGTTTGCTAGTCAAACTTATTGTGCTTTGTTTTTCATACCGAGTACAAAATTCTTCTAAATAAGTAAGTTCAGGAATCTGAAGAAAAAATTGAATTTCACAATTTTTACAAAATTACGTTTTTTAAAACTTAAAATTGCCAAAATATGAATCTTGACATAATTTCAAACATTTTTATAACTAGAAGTACTATAATGGTGGTTGCGGGTCCGGTAAGAACTTCTGTGGACACGGTGTACATATTGTTGCATGTATACGGTTTGGTAATAGATTGAATGCACATAAAATTGATGATAGCTTGATAAAATATACTTTACCAAAAGTAACACTTCACAATTCTGGAACTTCCACAAAAGCACTCGTACTGCTCTTCTCAGTATCACAAAGTATAATCAACAGTTACACTTTAAACTATTAAGAACATTAAACACAACTCAATGCAAAGCGCATCTACACTCATGTCCATAAATTAAGGATAATTCGGAGTCACGCAGAAATCGAACTCTAAAATAAATATATCACCTGTAAAATCACTACACACATTTTCAAGAATCATATGCAAATTTCAGGAAGTAACCAGATGACACAGATGGTACGTCACAATGACGAGAGTGTAAGAGAGTGATATATAAGGAATACAGGCAAAGAAGTAAAATTGTTCGTAGGCGCTTTATAAGCATTTCAGTGCAATAACCGAACAGTTATGACACAGAGGACGCATTTGGATGATTTTTTACGTGGTAGAATTATCGGCCGTCTGGAATGTGGGCGTACCCAACTGGAAGTATCAGACGAACTTGGAATTGCCCAGAGTGTCATCTCCAGGCTTTGGCAACGATTCCAAGATGATGGTAATGTGAGTAGACGTTACAGCACAGGTCGCCCCAGAGTTACAGCGCCGAATAAGGACCGGTATTTGGCAGTTACTGCCAAAACAAACAGGTGGAGCACAGCCTGAGACCTGCCTCGTCAGCTCTCTTCAGCCACTGGTACGACAATTTCAAGGCAGACCGTGTACAGACGCTTAGGGCAGATTGGTTTATATGTTCGTAGACCTGTCAGATGCGTTCCACTTACTGCAACTCACTGTCGCCTGCGGTTAGCCTGGAGTAGAGAGCATGCACTGTGGACACCGCAACAGTGGGCTTGTGTGATGTTTTCCGACGAGTCCAGGTTTAGCTTGCAGTCTGATTCTCGCCGGACTTTCATATGGAGAGCTCCAGGTATTCGTTACCACCAAAGAAAACATCATTGAACGACACCGTTACGGTGGTGTAGGAGTGCTCGTTTGGGGTGGAATTATTCTGGGTTCCAGAACTGACCTTCATGTTCAAATTGGAATCATGACAAGCCATATCTATCGGGACGTCATTCTGGAACAACATGTACATTTGTTTCGGGGTGCCATGGGCACACAATTTGTTTATGGATGGATGACAACGCCCTTCGTCACACACTTGGCAAACAGCTTTTTGAGTGGTGTAATATCCCCCCAAGATCAGATCGATAATTTGATACTCAGATGCCTAGGCGTTGTACGGACTGTATTGCATCGTCTGGGAGACATACAATGTATTAACAATCAAACCAACCATGTAATATTGGTTTTTTGTAAATAAGTTTTTTTTTTTTTTTTTTTTTTTGGTAATTTGCTCCAGGGAGAAAAAAAATCGCTAATTTTTTTAATAATATCAAACATATAGCATCTGTTTTTGCTCTTTACCTTTTGTTTAATAAATAAGCTTTACAAATAAGTCAAATTTGTTTTGCTTCTAACTTTTCCTTTGCCTGATTTTGCATTATCCTTAATTTATGGACATGAGTGTAAATAGAGTCCACGAATTTACTGAAGAACTTTACAACTGAGAATTTTAAGATCTTATTTTTTCATTTCAATATTCTATCTTTTCTCCCTTATAGTTAGGAATCCATAATGAAAATTCAAAAATATTACATATCAATAAATTCAATTGCAGTTATACAGGGATTGGACCAAAATGTCGCCAAATTTTCGTGAAGTTTGGTAACAAAAATTAGTCGCCATAACCATCGCCATCTTGATGATATCTCGCCTATTTAGCGGGGTAGCCATTCACTCAAGTTAAATAGACTTGCCCCTCCCCAATAATCTTATTTTCCAGTAGAGCTTTGTCTCGTTCAGGCATATTATACAAAAAATACTGTAATTTCGAATATAATTTCATTAAAATTATTTACATGTGTACAAAATTCGAAACACTATTATTTCTTTTTTATAACTGTTTCAGTCATCAAAATGTCTAAGAAAGTCAAAAATTTGTTTTATTTGTTTAGACTCCCCTGTTCTGTAACTTCGTCGTGCCAAGCAAGCTAGCCGAGAATTATCCAGAACCGGAACGCTTCCTCCCGGACAGGTGGCTGACGAGAGACCGATGCAACAGTCGCTTTACCATGATGCCATTCGGGAACGGAAAACGGATATGTATCGGAAGGAAGTTTGCAGAAATGGAAATGTACACAGCCCTTGCCAAAGTATGTAAGAAATAACGGATTCTTGCAAGTTTATGTTTAATTCTAGACTGTGTGAATTTTTATATCCGTGACAAAAATGTGTATGTTACGGCAATGTATGAAAACCAGCATTGTACATAAAAAATAGTTAAGCATTTTACAGAATGCCGTTGGCCGGCAATGTATGAAACAATTATTTCATACATTTCTTAGGCATTGTATAGGACACTTAGGCTTCAAACATAGTTGATTCATGGAACCCTTAGCACAATCAGTCCCCCCCCCCGCCCCAGGAATCCCATCCTACTCTTAGAAAAGTATATTTAAAAAAAAAAAATTAAAGTAGGTCAATATGTTATAGGTACTTTACGTAAAGATATAAAGAAAGGTATTGTGTTTCTTATTAAAAATTTTTAACATAAAATATTGATGTAATTTACTTAATTCCATTAACTCGTGTTCCAGGTGTGACCTACCATGCACTGAACTGAATTTAGTGACAAGTGTGAGCTTGTTTTTTTTTTTACACAAAGTGTTGCAAGTGCGGCTTTAAGGATGTTACCTGCAGTAGCATTTCATATTCTGCATCTAATTTGTTTCTGTATTTTTGTTGCTACATACGTTGAGAAAGATTTTCGCCTTAAAATACGTTGCTCCGAGAGAATGAGAAACTGCCTAATTATAGACGGCAAGCTGAGAATCCAATAATATTGCTGCATTGCGGAGGAAAATATTCCACACAACAGTAGTTAAGGGTTACCACTGGAGACTTTTTATAGCCCCCTCCCCCCAAAAAAATCTTGGTACATAAATAATTATCGACAAAATGTGATCCCAATGAACCGATAAGTACTCTTGTATTTAATTTATTTTGAACCTTTCTATCCATTTAAGTAACACAAGACGATAGAACACAAGAACACCTTCGTCCACGAAAGGTCTTACCCGGCCTTCACCTCCGGAACCGTTGGTCATTGACACGTACCTCCACAAAAATATTTTAAATAACGCAAACATTCATACTTTAGAATTCTTAAATTAGAAACATGAATTTTGTAAAGAAGTAAGAAATTTAACTTTTTATACCTTATGGCAGTTGTTGATGGATGCCATTTTTGATTGCACGTTGAATGTTAACAAAATCTGACTCGGTAATATTAACATTTATATTTAATTCTAGGATGATATCTTTAACATATATTTACTTATACACAATCACATTGCATGTAGTTACAAGATGAGTATTTTTACAGTTCGCAAGTCCGCATGAGTAAAAATCAAGAAAGTCATATTACAGCCACGATAACATCACGGAGGGAAAGAGAGGTGAGTGCGTGCTTCACCGACGGCAGCCAGAACCGAGTAAACCAGTTCGATTTTCCTCCAGAGAGGAAGAGGGAGAAAGCTGGTAGTGCCCTCTCTTGGGGCCAGTGGACAAATAATAATAATAAAGAGTTCTCCCACAGTATCCCCCCCCGAGTACCGAAGGTACGATGAAAAAAATCAGCTTCACAAATATCTGGTGTTGAAGCGCACGTGTCTTCCCGATCGTGTGACGAACTGGTGGAGCACTGGGAGGAAGCGTAAGTTCGATCGAAGGAGGAGCATCTGGAGAAACAGGTGGATGAGCAGGAATGAAACAACGGGGAAGCAAGGAAGGATTGCTGGTCACAGGAATCTGAGTGCTTGAAGCTTCGAAAGAACGAAGGCTTCAGATCTATGTCTTTTCCCAGAACGGTTTCCTTGTCGTGCATGAGAATGGTGAAATGCTTTGTTGTTACGTGCACAGACCTTGAAGGGTCATTCGTATGGAGGAGTGAGTGGTGGTTTGACCTCGTCGTTTCGCACAAACACGTGAGTGCAAGTGCTCAGTGCGTGGTGCACGAAAGGGGCAGATTTGTTGTGGCACGAAATAGGAGTCGGAGACAGCTTCTTCATCGCCTCTCGGAAAGTGGACAAAGGATGCTGGATCGACTGGAGCAGAGGATGGCTGAAAGAACTCAGATGGTAATCGAAGGGGTGTGCCGTAGACAAGTTCAACGGATGAACCTGCGAGGTCTTGCTTGAAAGAAGAACGCAAACCAAGAAGCTCAAGAGGAAGTGAAGTAGTCCAACGGGTGTCATTACGGCACTTCAGGGCTGCTTTCAGGTCGCGATGTAAGCGTTCCACTAAGCCGTTGGCGGAAGGATGGTATGGTGAAGTGCGAATTCGGCGTATTCCAAGCATAGATGTCAGAGAAGCGAAAAGGTGTGACTGGAATTTCAGCGAGCAGTTTGGGTCTTCACTCAGACGTTTTAACTCCTCGTCAGTGGCTTGCGAGTGAGCAATGAGCGTGAAATTCAGTGGTGCATTGGCATCGATGCCCTGAATACGTGAGAGAGTATCCGCGACGACTTTGCTGGAACCTGATATATGCTGAATATCAGTGCTGAATTGAGCTATATAATTTAAATGCCGAATTTGTCTCGGGGGAAGCAGAATTTGATTTTGATGTGAATGCATAAGTTAGAGGTCGGTGATCTGTAAATATAGTGAAGTGTTGACCTTCAAGATTATGCCTGAAATACTTAATAGCTGCGTAAATAGCTAATAATTCTCTGTCATACGTGCTGTATTTTTGTTCTATAGGGGACAGCTTACGTGAGAAAAATCCTAGCGGCTGGTAGTCATTAGAATGTCGAACGTTTAAGACAGCTCCGATGGAAATGTCAGAAGCGTCGACCATGACACTCAGCTTTTGGTTAGGAGAGTGATAGGAGAAGAGTTGCAGCATTAATAAGGTCGTGTTTACATTTTTCAAATGCCTGATTCAGTTCGTCGTTCCAAGGAACAGGGGCGTTTATCATTTTTACGTGAATCTTTTTAAGAGTTCATTCAGTGAAGCTTGGGTCTCGGCTGCCTTTGGTAAAGAAGCGGCGATAAAAGTTTATCATGGCTAAGAAACGTCTGAGCTCGACAATAGTGGTAGGTTTTGGGGGAAGTCGGCAATTGCTTTTGTTTTCTCAGGCAGGGGTTTTACACCTGAGGCAGTAATGAGGCAACCTAAAAATGGGAAACGGATGGTTTTCCGAGTACGCATTTGTTAGGGTTTAATGTCCAAACCATGTGTTTTTTCAAACGATCAAACACTTGGGGACGAAGATGACGGATGTGCTCTTCTTCGCTAGTCGATGCAATAAGGATGTCGTCAAAATAAGGGATGCAAAAATCCAATCCAAATAAAACTTCATGTATAAAACGTTGGAAAGTTTGGCCTGAATTTCGTGGGGTTGTGACGGCACTTTTTGGAATGTCTGCAGGGTTAACAGGAATTTGATGATAGGCACGTGCCAAATCAAGTGTTGAAAATATGTTCTTTCCTGAAAACATTTGAGTGCAATCCTGAATATGGGGTACGGGTTAACGATCCGGAATTGCAATGGCTTTTAAGCGACGATAATCCCCGCATGGTCGCCAGTCACCATTCGCTTTACGAACCATATGCAGAGGGCTTGCCCAAGGACTTTTTGAAGGCTGAATGATGCCTGTTGATAGGAGAAAAGTCAAACTCTTGACGTGCAGCTTGAAGTAATTCTGGAGATAATCTTCTAGGTTTGGGGAGAAAATAGGAGGTCCTTTAGTTTTCAATGTGATGGAAAACTCGTTGACATTGGTGTCCTCTCAAAAGTTTGCGAAGGATTCGTCAAGCTAAGGGTAATCGGCAAGAATTTTGTCAAATTTTGAGTTACCATCAAAATATGAATGCTAGTACTGAGCGGGTTCACATTAGGAAGTCTACCACAAGAATATAGTTTTGTTTGTCCATCAATTAAACGGTTGTTTTTAACATCTATGAAGTAAGTTGAACTTTGTGAGAAAGTCAACACCTATGATGGGTTGATTGACGTCTGCCAGGATAAAAGGCCAAGTAAATGAGCGACGTAAGTTTAAATTGATGGTCAAAGTTTGGTGCCATTCGTTGCAATTTTAGGTGCCGTTAGCGGCAAAGAGTTCCAAGTGCAGCTGGGGTTTTTGGCATGCTGACTGTAACTCTTGGGAATGACAGATAAATCGGCTCCGGTGTCAATTAAAAAGGGTCAGTTTTGAAGATGGATCGGGCCAAAAGAATTCGATTGAATGTGGCGGTCGCAACGTTGGCCGACAAGCGATCGCCGATCTAGTTTTCCGACTGCCGGAAATTGCATGGAGAAACACATTTTCGTGCCTTGGAACCAAAATTAGTATGGTAGAAACATGTTGTTGCTCGGTTCTTTATAATGTCGATAGCGTCCACTAGATCTATTACGCCTACTGTTGCGTTGGGAATAGTCTCTTCGTTCACAGGAACGCTCACGGCTGTTTTTGAGGGATAGCGAAAGTTCATTTACCTGCTTTGTCAGCTCTGCAACTTGCTGTTCAATGGGAGAGGTAGATGCCGTAGCAGCACTATTTATGTGCGGGAGAGTTGTGAGATCTGTAATTTTATCAGCTACAACTGCTAGTTTTGGAAGATCATCACTTAAGGCAGCAAGAATATTTTGTGTATTTTGCCGGAGACGAGATATCCATAAGAATTTCAACAAAGGTTCTCCAACGGTCTCTCCAGCGAGGTTTCGCATACGGCAAAGTAATTGTGATGGGCGTTGATCGCCAAGTTCTAGCCCTTGAAGAAGTGTACGTATCTTTGACGCCTCACTTTCAGAATGCAATTCAATTAAGCGTGTTTTTAGTGTGTCATATTTGCCAGTAACAGGTAGGTGTAAAACGATATCACAAACGCTATTGAGAATATCAGATTCGATTGCAGATATCACATGATTGAATTTCGTGGAGTCAACAATGATTCCGGCGATATCAAACTGGGCCTCTAGTTGTGCAAACCACAAAGTATGGTAAACCTTCCAAAATGTGGGAGGTTTGACGGAAACACGTGAAATATTAAGATCGTCTGCGATGGGTTGTGGTGGAGCAAGGCCAACTAGATATCTACAGGCCTGCTCCACCGATTTGTGACGTCACAATCGAAGGCGATCGTTCCTCG